CCCCGCTCCCCTCACCATGAACAGGGTCCCATCACCTCCTAGCAAGTGACCCTCGGCCAGTCTCTCATCCCCAGAGAACACCTGAGTGGGACCCAGGGCGACAAGGGCCCAGGCCCCTGAACCCTGATTAAATGAGCCGATGCTATGAAAAGCCCCAGGAGCCCCGGCTCACAGTGAGTGATTATCGCAGAGCAGTTAATTATTCACTGAACGGCACGGAAAAGCGCTTCCCCCTGAGGGACACCTAGATTCTCCCCTGGGCTGTGCCTGGGCCCCCAGACAGGCCCTTCCGCCCCTGGCCTCAGCATCCTCGCCTGTCCAAGAGAGGGAAGTTGTTCAAGCTGAGATGGCCCTTCTCCCTGGCCTCAGTCTCATCACCCTGTACCTCTGGCCACTTCCCTCGGCGACTTTTGAAGACAGGACCGCCATGGCTCGGACCACCCCCTCCCCCACTGCCCACCCCAGCTGCCCACCGCTCACCATAAACCTCCAGCCTGGTGGTCTTCTCCGCGACCCCCACAGGGTTGCTGGCCTTGCAGGTGTAAGTGCCAGCATCCAAGCCCCGGGCCCTCTCCAGCTGCAGCTGCCGGCCGCCCCTGGTGTAGACGGCCTCAGCGCTGAGCGGGAGAGGGACCCCGTCCTTGAACCAGGTGATGTTGGGAGTGGGCACTCCTCGGGCCTCGCACAGGAACCGCACCGGGTGACCCTCCATGACGGCCACCTCGCTCGTCTCGTTGGAGCCCCAGATGGTAGGAGGGGCTGAGGACAATAGGAAATGCTGGTCACAGGGAGCCTCCTCAAGGCGGCTGGCGTCCCACCCACCCCATGTCACTGGCTCCTGCAGGGTGTGGAGTGGGGGGGGGGGGCTGGGAGAGTGGGCATCTGGGGACAGACGGGAGAGGCCTCTTGGGACATGCTGGCAGCGGGGGCCACAGATCCGGGCTTTGGACGCACTCTGCCTCTAACTCACTGCGTGACCCGGCACAGGTCACTCCCCTCTCTGGGTCTCAGTCTCCCTGTCTGTAAAATGAGGGTCGGACCTAAATCAGGGGTTCACTGCTAGTGACACCCACGGCGATCCTGGGAGCACGTGGGCACAGCACCAAACAGCACCGCATCTGAGAATGGACGGCTCCGCCCTTCCCAAACCCCTTCCATCCTGATTACAACAGACAGCAAGGTGCGGATGGATAGACTGGCTACTTAACCCTTCTAGCACTCCCTATATCAGCGCTCTTCTGCTGTATCTGTTCTCATGGCTTCCTCCCCGAAGGCCAGTGGCCCTGACTTCCCACCTACACTCGAGATAGTAAATATCCTTTTAAATGAGCGTCTTTCCGTATAAACGGAGTCGATTTAAAGAAACAGGGGCAGAAATGATCAACCCCAAGTAGGATTAGGAATAGTAAAGCTCGCAAAGCTGGGGATGGAGACGATGGGATTTGGAAACGCCGGGCCAGATTCCCGGGCCCTCACCCCAGATTTTACTGGACCGGGGCTGCTCCCCCCTAGGACCTCCCTCTGGGAAGTGGGCGGCCCGTGGTGGGGGCCGGGCTCACCGTGCATCCTGAGCCGGAAGTCCTTGGCCTGCTGGCCGGCGGGGCTGAAGGCCACACACTGGTACCGCCCCTCGTCCCCCAGGTGACTGCTGGGGATCCTGAGAACCTGGCCGTCCTCCTGCAGCTGGACATAAGGGTCTCCCGGAGGGATGGGCCTGGGTCGAGAAAACGCCGCCAGTAAGCAAGGCCCGGCCGCAGAGAGGCGGGCTTGCCACTTGTGAAAAGCAAATCTGGAAGGTTCACGGTCGCCGAAAGGTGGGTGGGTACAAACAGTGGCCGATCCCTACCATGGACTGTTACTCAGCCCTTGAAAGCAGTCACGCACAGGCGGATACTGCATGTCTGACAAACTGAAGGTCTGTGGCGACCGTGCCTCAAGCAGGCCAGTCGGTGCCATTTTTCCAATGGCGTCTGGTCACTTCGTGTCTCCGCGTCACGATCGTGGCCATTCTCACAATATTTCAAACTTTTTCGTTATATTTGATACGCCGTGATGTACAACGTACGTTTGTTGCACGGGGTTACAACTCACTGAGAGCCCAGATGATGGTTAGCATTTTCTCAGCAATACGCTTTTTTTTTTTTTTTTTTTTTTTTTTTTTTAAGGTTTATTTATTTTTGAGAGAGCGTGCGAGCCGGGGAGAGGTCGGGAGAGGGGGACAGAGGATCCGAAGCGGGCTCCGCACTGACAGCAGAGAGCC